AGGAGTTTCCAGGGGCCATGGAAGAGATCAGGCCTCCAAATCTGATTTGAATCCAAAGTGATTTGAGGTCTAAAACCCTGGAAATCCTGAACCATGACTACTACCCAGAACAGCTCCCTGGAAGCAAAGGAATGACACTGCTTTTCCAACAGTGCTAGCTTTACACTTTCCACTTACTATTTTTTTTTTTGTAATAAACTATATATTTATTTATTTTACCGTTGTGATATTGAAGCTCCTTCCCACCTGGCACAGCTGAAACTGCTCCACAGCTGTAGAAAACCTCAGCCCCTCCTGTGCTGGCCCTCGGATCCAGCACTACCTGCCTGCTCACGGGGGCAAGGTGGCTTTCTCCTCACTTTTTGGCTTCTCTCTAGCTTCCCCTCATCAACTCGTTTGCCAAGCAGTGTAATTTTACAGCCTGCCTTAAGGAGCCAAGAAATACGTTTGCTGGTGTAAGCTGTGTGTTAGACATCGTGAAAAACATGCAACTTCAGGGTTTTAGGAGCCAGCGACGCAGAACAGCGAAACAACCGCAAAGCAGCAAGGAGATGGTTTTGCACCCTCTCTGATTTCACTCCCGGACCCTCGTGCTTGATGCTGGCAGTGGGTGGTGAGCAGAGGGATGGACCCATAGGGGTGATGGGTTGGTGGAAGGGTCTTCTACCTGATGGCACCTGGTTTGTGAGCAGGGCAAGGACTTGCCTTCCCCTCCCTGCCTTTCCTCTCCCCATTCGGTACTTCCACCTTCCTTTCCTTAAAACAATGAGCTCCTTAGGGCTCTGGGTTGATGTCTTATAGAAACCAGAATAATGGTGTCCAAACCTCACCTGTGACCTTCAGAAAGTCTAGGACCATTTCTAAGACCTCTTCTTGGATATAAGAAAGGTTTTCTTTATGCTAAAGTCACTGAGGCAGTGGCACAGGGTGCCCAGAGAGGTGGTGGTATCCCATCCCTGCACAAAGCCACAGTCAGGCTGGACGAGGCTCTGAGACTGATGGAGCTGTGGGTGTCCCTGCTCAGAACAGGGAGTTGGACCAGACAGCCTTTAAAAGTCCCTTCCATCTCAAAGAAGTCTATGATTCTATAGTTCTTCCATCTCTACATGGTAACAATCACATTTTGGTCGTGATTTGTCCTGAATTTTGGGGTGCTTCAGATCCCAACACTGCTACAAAATCAGCCAGCTGACCCTGAATGAAAGAACCATCCATTGAACTCAGTTGTAAAACATTTACTGGCAGCTGCTCCAACCTCCTGCAGCATTCCCATGTCCATGACACATAACAGCCTCTGCTTTCTGCTCACCTTGTACCAACAGTACAGTGAACTTCCAAACATCTGGAGACAACTGGATTTCCCCAACTCTTCCACTTCCAGCCCATTCAACATTCAACAGTCACCATACAGGCACGTGCAGTGAAAACAAGTTCCTCTGTGTGAGTTAGAGAGGGTGTCTGAAACCCCAAACCTGGTGCTGGAAGATTGAACCTAATGAGGTTAGGTTTAAATTCCCAACATGAGCATCTCAATGAACACAGTCCTGGCTCAAAATGTGGCTGTGCTTTCCACAAACACCACAATAAAAGGCAGCAAAGAGCTTTCAGAATTTAGTGAACTCTCACAAACACTGAAGACTGTTGGTTATAATGTGAGCAAGAGGCGAACTCCAACGTAGGATACTTGGAGGTTTCTGAGGCTCAACCTGGCCATCTGCTGCAGACCCAAGCAGGGAGGGGATGAGTTGTAACTCTCTTCTCCAGCTTCATTCCTGGCAGAGACAATTTGCAGCAGTGTTGCTCAGCGTGTCAAATCCGGCTTACAAAACCTGCTTACAATAAATCCCCAACGATATTGAAAAGTTAAATGTTCATTTACTTTCATCTCTGTTTCAGATTTGGGTTTCTACATACTGTAAATGCTAAAATATGTTTTTTGGAAACAATGCTACCTATTTACACTGGAGATCCTTTCTAACTGGCTGCATTCACCTAAAGTTTCTTTCTAAAGGTATGCAGACCAAAGGAGAGGCTTTGCCACCACCTTCCTAAAAGGTGAGACCTGAGCAGGCTCCTGCAGATGGGATGGGCTCAGTGCACTGCTCTGCATCTGAGAAGGCTCAGCATGGAGGATCTCAGCAGACACCAAAGGAAGCACAAAGCTCCAGGAATGATGTTAGCCTATGCAGGCTGGAGTTTGGGAGCAGGGAATGGCTGGTGTTGAGGATATGCAGCAGGAGCACAGAGGACAAACCGCTGATGGGACCTGGACATGCTGCACTGAGTACTTGGATGATGTTTTCTCTCAGCTCACTTTTGATCCTGGCAAATGTGCTTTGGGCACTGTGATTTGATCAAGAACATCTCGAGCACAGATGTCCTGTAAAAAGCTACATCCATTACAAAGCTCTCCCTCTCCAGCCCAATGGTTAGCAACAACAAATGATTTTTCAAATGAGAACTGGCCAGCATTCAACACAAACCTTGATTTTGAGATCAAAAAAGCAGCCAAATGGGAAGATTTCTGGAAATTCAAGTTATGGAGGACTCAGATGGGAAGAAGCAGACCCGAACCACATTCCCACTGACAGCACCAGTGCACATGGAGCAGCAGCAGGACATGCTGAGCCTGCAGCCTCGCGGACATAAGTGCATAGCAATCCCACTGAGCCTTCTTCCTTACAAAGGTGAACTGGGAAAGAACAATAAGTTCACACTTGGAATCACACACACAAAAAAAAAAAAAAAAAAAAGACTTTTTAAAGGCACGACTTTTTCTGGGCTCCTGACAAAGCAATATTCTCCAGGCCAGTTGGAATCTGGAAAAATACACTTACTCAACCTAGCCACCATGACTCCAATAACAATTATAAAATGTCCAATAAAACTTGCATGTAATGTCAATTCAAATCTTGAAAAGCAGAATTAAGTGGTATATCAACATTAAACTTTATTGCTTCCTTTGCAGAGCAGAAGTATTGTCAATAAAAGTCATTCTGAATGAAGAAAAGGGCAGTAAATATTAAATAAACAGGTTTTTGTTGAAATGCTATAAATGCACCAGAGCTGCATTTTACACTGGGACCCTTTTTTGCCTTTGCAGACTCCACTCGTGATAGAAATAAGTCAGTAATTGCAAACTATCAATAAAGCACCAATTAAAGGGTGGTCAGATGCATGCATTTACAATATGTCATTATGAGCCTCTATTGGATGCAGTTTGCTGTCTCAGATCCCAGTGGCTTCGCCTGAAGTCCCCAGCACACAATCGGCAGTGCTGCTCGTTAGCGCTCCGCAGCACAGGACCAGCCCAGTGCTGAGCAGCCAAGGAAGGCACGAGTGAGCAGCTCAGGCTTTGGGAAAGCAAGTTTCACTGGCAGAGATGTGAAGACAAAGCAGCATCGTCACAGTCCATTAAACTACTATTTTTCTATCAAGGCAGAACGGAGCAGAGCAGAGCAGAACAGCTCTGAGGCTGCACAGCTGTGCCAAGACTGCAAATCTTTGTTTTCAGAGAGGCCACTCACCGTGCTGCACTCTGGTCCTCTCTGAGTCTGTTTGCCTTGAGAAAGAGCCACTGTCATCCTCCCTACACTTCTTCGTGTGCAGAACTATTCCTACTTGCAATTTCTATCCACTACCCCAATTTCCATCAGCTATATCCCCACATCCCGCTCCCTTCCCAAGGAGCAGCTGACGAAGGATGTGTTGCTCTGCCCATGGTGCAGGAGCAGCTGCCCTCACCTTGCTCCAAGCCCCCGCTACAGCAAAACCTGGTGCCAAGAGCTGTGCCAAGCAATTGAGGTTCCACTCTGTGTGTTTGCTGGTACCCAGCTCAATACTATGTGCTTGGGAAGCAGGAGAGCTAGCGGGCTCCTCTGTGAGTGCACAAATCCCCCGGCTTTTATGTCAGCCCTTTAAAATCTGATCAGCATTTTTGTGGTTTACCAATAGAGTTTATAAGCTGTTCTCCAGTTTAATCATCACACGTATTTACAGGAAGCAGTAACAACTACAGCATATGAATTTCACGATGCTGGAGTGATACTGAACAAAGGCTGCAGTAAGTGGGAGCCGTGCTGCTGCACGTCAGCACAGCTTCGCTTGGGGCTTTCAGTTATCCTGGAGCTCAGAAGGGAGAAATGAGATGAGGTTTTGGAAAGTATGTGTTCAGGAGCTTCCTTCCTCTAACTTCTGCACATTTATTTATTTCGTGTGAATATAAACAACAACCCACAACTGAAACACGAATGCCATTAATTTCTGAAGAAAGGATTTTTGCTATGAATCTAAGCTCAGTAAATCCGATGGTTGTAAAAAACAGGACAAAACCAAATAACTCAAATTCAGAGATACAGAACAGCCCTTAAATATTAAATATATATTAAAAAAAAACAAAACAGAGAAAGATGTCCATAAATATCAACTTTCAGAGAAATTGCAAGTGTTCAAGCTCCATCCCTGGAAGCATTCAAGGCCAGGCTGGATGGGCCCTGGGCAGCCTGACCTGGTGGGTGGCAGCCCTGCTTATGGCAGGAGTTGTAACTGGGTGATCTTTGAGGTCCCCTCCAACCTAAGCCATTCTATGATTCATCCTGACCAACCACAACCTCCTGGCCACTGCAGGATCAGCCCCTGCACACTTGTCCAGCGCCAATGTTTCTCTGCTGTTCACATGAATGGGAAATGAAGCAGAGGCCAGGGGGCACCTCTCCAGCAATACAGCCAGGGCAGCCCCCCCAACGCGAGTCACCCCAAAGCCAACTGTGAGAGCTCTGAATCATTCTGACTCACTGGAGCCTGAACTCCTGACCCAGCTCTTGCATCAATTCCTCTGCTCCAGTTTGGAAACGTGGGTAAAGTAACCACCTCGCTGCCACCCAGCGTTCCACTGCAGGTGGTGGAGTGGTGCAGGGGGTGCAGCTGCAGCTTACATCAAGACCCCTATGGTTTGCTGGGAGGAGATGGGACCTTAGGAAGCAACCCCAGGAGCATCTCACCTGGAAAAGGATCTGCAGAACGCCGTGCACCATGCACATCCTTCGTCCCATGAAGATGAAAAAGGGCACCACCAGCTCGATGAAGTGGTTGAAGAGGGTCTCAAACTGATGAAACCAGCCTGGTGAGCGGTGCATGAAGTAGGCGATGGGGTTGGGCACCGGCTGGGTCTGAAAGATGAAAACACAGTGTCAGCCCCAGCCCAAGGGCATCGCTGGGATCCAACAGAACTGTGGGGTCATTCCTTTCCTTCCCTGCGCTTCCTTTCATTTTAGAGGAAATTACTTCATCCAGACTTTTTTCACGCAAAACCCGGGAATTTTTAAGCCAGTACATCTAATAGAAAACAAGAGTTAATCTTCTTCCTTTTTGTCATAACCCAATCATTCATCTTCAGTTGAACCCCCGTTCATTTAATACTGCCATGTGGCACATAGCTCCACACCGATGGATGTTAAATCATTCTGCAGAAGCAGAAGAGATGGGGAGAGTAACCGAGCTGATCCAGAAACAGAGAAAAAGATTTTCTTGGGGTCACACAGGAGGTCAAACGGAGACAGGAATGGGAACCAGATTTCAAAACCCTCGGAGATACTCTTTCAAAATGTTTAAATTTGAAATAAATGTGGTGGCAGAGCTGCTTTCCAAAATCATAATTCGGGAGAGGAAAGTCTAATTCCTCTAAACATGCTATATTGGTTTAAGGTATTTACATGCTGGCTGTGTGACAATATTATTCTTCTGAATTTTTTTGATGCAGGGAGATCTTCCCACCAGTACAAAGCTGCAAATTTTACAAAGGCAGCAAGCTGTGATATGTTAATAGCAGCAACCCTCAGAAATGCTGCAATCTAAACCAAAAAGAAAGGAGTTAACAATTTACCTTAGCATGTCTGACAAGCTCAAACTCACCAGGATTGTTTTAAACCTCCATCAGAAAAACAGAGAGGATGAAGAAGCAAGTTTTAATTGAAGGAGACACAACACATCTTTAAATTATTTGTAGCTAAATCAAAACTACAAACAAAAGAGGGAAAATATTGTACTACGCATGGCAATCGAGCATGCTTCCACTGCCAAATCCCACAGCTATTGTAATTCCCCATTAGCGAAGCTGGGACTAATAAACGTGTTGCTTTCCATGGGCTGGAGGCTGCTGTAACCCCTTAGGACAGGAGACCGCATCCTTCCTTCCTCGGACAGCGGCAGCGGATGGAGCAGCGGTGGGGTCACGGAGCGCTGCGGGGTCCCGGCCGGTGTGGGGGTGGGGGTCAGAGCCCCCCCAGCCCGGGGGGACACGGCCCTGCTGCCACCACAGCCCCGGTTCCGGTTACCTTGTGCCTGCACGATGGCTATGGGGCTCCCAGAGCTCTGGGGAAGCTCATCGAGAGACTTTGTAGCATCAGCACAAGCTGCTGAGAAATGCTTTCACCCTTTCAGAAAGGCAGGTTGCTTTCTTGGCTGCTTTCACTTATTTTTTCTGAAGCTCAATAACCAAAACTGACCTCATTCTTTTATCTTTTTTTTTCCTAAAGTGCAGTAACCAAAACTGACTTCAATCAGGCTTCTTTGACTGACTTTTTCTCAAATGTGTTAAGCTAAGCTGACATTGATAACAATCCCACAGGTTGCAATGTTTAGGCCAAGAGGAGCTGCACGAATGTGGCACTCATGCTCACGCAACCTCATCTCCCCATGTGCTGGGGAGGAGAGCCTGGACACTTCTGTGCAAGCAGCACTTGCAGCCTGGGACCAAGAAGAATGGGCTGCATTACACATGCAATCACACATGTAGTTACAGATGAGTTAAATCTCAGTGTGAGCACACCGAGTTGTTGCACATTTGATCAATATTTGCTGCTTTATTTCAAAGTAAAGGCCACTGCCAGCTCTTGACCATGCCACTCACTGTCCCCAGCTGTATGTGCACCTGCCCCAGCCTGATGCTGACAAATGGACCCATGGGGCTGCTCCTTTGCCAGGCCAGCTGCAGCACCTCTGCTGCTGTGAGCTGTCACCCAGGCATCGTTCCCGTTAGGGACAGAACGAGAAGTCTCTTCTCTAGCATAAAGTGATCACAGAATGGTTTGAGTTGGAAGGTACCTCTAAAGGCCATCTGGTTCCACTCCCTACACTGAGCAGGGACACCCACAGCTCCTTCAGTGCTCAGAGTTCAGCCTGACTGTGGGTGTCTGCAGGGATGGAGCATCATCACCTCTCTGGGCATCCTGTGCCACTGCTTCACTACTGTTAATGTAAACAAATTTCTTCTTGCATCCTTTACATTAATTTGAAACCATTTTCCCTTGTCCTATCACAAAAGACTATGCTCAAGAGTCTGTCTTCTTTCTTACAGCCCTCCTTTAGGTACTGCACCATCAGCCAGGAACCTTCCTCCCCACTGCAGCAGCTGCTTCTCTACACCTCCAAGGTGAGCAAAAGATGGGAGAGAGGAGCATCTCATGTGTCCCAGCACTGAGTTTAGCAGCTGCAGGGGGAGGGTGCGGGCGGCGAGCACTGCGTGTGTGTGTTCCTCCCGATGCCTTCCAGATGCTGTGAGCACAGTGTGGGCTTCCCAGGGAGAAAGCCGGCTTTGCTCATTGCTGAGGCTGGAGCATAGAGCTGGGGAACTGTGTGAAAGCCAGGGGAAATGCTGGGAAAGCTTGCTGCTGGCTGCTGGGATGCTCGAGGGGACCTGCAAAGCACAAGTGTGCTGAACGCCTCTTGGTGCAATTGTGTCCTCCAACAAGACTGTCATAGCCTGGGAGGAGGGAAATGCATTCCATCATCTCTTAACCCGCTCCTTTCACAGAGCATTTTTAGCTTTGCACTATGGTTCACAGCTGCCCCACGAAGAGTAGCAGCCTAGGAAGCAGCCAGCAGCTCTGTGCATGGGGAATGGTGAAATCCTGACACAGAAAAATGCAGCACCAGCTCAGATGCAACTGAATAAACAAGGCTGAGGATGGTGCACGGGGACCTGCTCAGCACAGCCTCCAAGCAGCCACGTTTCCGGGTACTCCTGCACAGCAGAAAGCGTTTTTAAATAAAAAAACGATTAGCAAAACCTGGCTTTACGTGTCAACACAAGGTACAATACAATAAACCTGCCTGCCTCACACCTCCGGCACCCAGAGAAAAACTGCACTGCAAACAAGTTCTGAAACAAGATTGGGGAAAATTAATTCCATAATTCACAGGGCAGATTTGTGACGTGCGACTTCGGCGCGATGTTCGGCAGGGGCTGCTGGCCGTGATAAATGCATGCTGGGTCGCCAGCTATGGCATGTTCTCTGGCTTGTCTCTACCAGGTTTTATGAGGGCTGGTAACAGATTCTAAAAATATGCACAATAAACTGTTTTTTCTCCCTAAGGGGTCTATAGTTTAATTATGTTCTTAGTGAGAACCATTAAAGCGCTAAGTACCTGAAGACTCCTAATTTACTAAACTATACGCTACTAAAACCCAACAGAAGGCTATTATATACCAGAGCAAATGCTCTTCTCTGGGACTGTAAATGCACGTGGGCTCTCCTCTCAGCCTCCCCATTGGCAGGGCATTACACAAACTCTGAGAGAGTACTGAAGCTGTGTCAGATACCCTGTCTCAGCTGAGGGAGATCTCCAAGCTGCCCTACACACGTGCATGAAAACAAGTCCCACATTGTCCTTGAACAACACGCTGCTAGGCCAGGGCTGAGCATGGCATACTGTACCACGAGTGGCAAAGTGCCCGTGAGAGCATCAAGTTGGAAAGAGCAAAGCCTCCAGTCTTGAGACAAGAAATGAGGAGGGCAGAGATGCACCACTCGAGCTGCGCCCCTGCAGAGGTGGATGCCTGCTTTCCTTCCCTTCCCATGCACTGCAGATCATCTTCTGCAGCCTCAGAGAGAACAGCCTAAAGCTCAAGCTCTCTTTCAAAAAACAGTAGCAAGTTACAAAGGAATTGATTTCAAAAAGGTGTACAGAAAATCCATTATTCAATCTGTTTGTATGAAGTTCGTATGAAGCTTGTATTGATTTTGACTTCAAATTAACACAACTCTAAGGACAGCGTTTCAAACTATCACCCTGGGTGCCTATCACACAAATGCGACTTTGTGAAAACTAAAGCAAGCCATAAATATCCCTATGCACTCTAGACACTATTATTTGTTTGCACTGAAAAGCACTTACTTAATCAAAACTCTCAACTGCGAGTGCATTTATCTGCAGAAAAATCTTGAAAAAGGGAAGGAAACAGAACAAGAGCAAACATGAATAAGTGGTGAGAGCACACAGCTACTCAGCCAAAAGGAGCAGGATGAGCTTGGTGCTCAGTCTGAGGAGAAGAAGACTTCACTGCAAGCAGGAGGGTGTGAAGAAGGGTGGTACCCTGGAAAACCAGGTGGAGAGGTATGGGTAGATGTTTTCCTGAAGGTTTGTGAAAGGTAGAGATGAACTGCAAAGCACACTTCTTCACCTTCCCAAAGCACTGAGGCATGAAATCATCTTCTCAGCTTCAAAGGAAAGCTCTCAGTTCTCTTGCACTTTGGACCAAAAAAAAGAGAAAGGATTCTCCGTGGCAGGGTGTAATTTGATCGACGTGATCCAACAGGCTGTTTCTCTGCCAGTCTGTTCTGCTTCAGATCTTGACCCTTTCTCCTTACGCATCTGCAGATCAAAGCTCCTCTTTCCAAAACCTGTGCAGAGATGGCTTCCCAGCCCCGTGCAGGAGAGCAGAAGGCAGTGAGCAGGAAGGAGATAAACCGGGTCGCTCCCAGCTGCTGCTATGTGTGGGAAGATGTGTGTCTGTATTGAAGCCTGAACGTCTCTCGTGATGCACGGTAACCAGCAGCTTCTGCAAAATGCCCTTCTTCATCACGGGGAGCTTACAGAGAGCTGCTACTTCCCAGCCTGTAAGGCTTTGTGGTGGGCGCACTACACGTGCAGCAAGCTTGATTGATGAACAACGGTGGTTTTGCACAAAGATACACATGTAGGCAAGGGCTTAGGAAGGAAATCGAGCAGCAAACTGCTCAGCTGCTTGTGCAAATCCCAACCGTAACTCGTGCTGTGTGTATTTTATACATGCATGCATGCACACAAGTCTCCACGTGCATGCTCCTAGCACACTTGCATACACAATAGCTAATCAGTTAAAAGCAGTCCTTTCAAACTTTCCAATTGC